CATATGGAGTTTGTTTTCTTATGGCAAAGCTAGCCACTTTATAAGAAATGGCCCTTCCCTTGACTGCTGACAGTATGTGTGAACAAGCAGGACACAAAAGAAGGCAACTGCAGAACTTTGCCAAGACAAGGTAGGACAGTCCTTCAAAATTCCTCCTTCACAGAAAAGTCTGTCAGATATTCTAGGTCTATAGACCAAAGATAGTTTCCCCAATGCTGCAGAGGAACTTTGGGTGACTGTCCAGGCAGACAGCTATTTCTGTCATTTCTATTGTTTTGAAAATTGTCTGTTTTGCACTTCCTGTTTATTCAGGTAATATATTTTCAGGTATTTGTTATGTTGAAGACTAGATAGTTATAGGTACAATATTCCTTGTTACCAAATTCAAAAACAAAACTCAAAAAAGAGGTATAAGGTGTATAAGATTAAGAGACATAAAAGCTTAAGTTGTTTTTCTAAAAAGCTGTTTTGAGATCTAAAAAGATACTTTTGGGTTGGTAATACAAGTTAGAGTAGAAAGCAAATTAGGTATAAAACTTCAGATTTATCAAGATAGGATAGATAATAGAGTATTTTTGCCAAAATTGCCAAATACAAATGGACTGGACATTATAAATGTAGTTCATACCTGACTATTGTTCTCATTGTATATGCTCTTATTTACTATGTTAGAGTTAAAACTGTCCCTTTTTATTTAGACAAAGAGGGGGAAATGTTATGGGGTATTTGTACACTGAAAATTTGTATTGTTGTTATTGGTGTAGTAAAAAGCTGACTGACAAACAGATAGGCAGCAGATATAGGTGGGATTTCCAGGGAGAGAAAGAAAAAGAAGAAGAATTTAGGTACACAGGGAAAGCCAGAAGGCATGGAGAGGGAACAGGAGATGCAAGATGGAAGAGAGGTAATGCCACATGGCAGGATGTAGATTAATAGAAATTGGTTGATTTAAGTTATAAGAACTAGAAATAGGTCTAAGCTATAGGCTGAGCTTTCATAACTATAAGAAGTCCCATGCCATTATTTGGGGGTTGGCTGGCAGAACAGAGTCTTGTTACACCAGGGAACTATGAATTTACCTCATTTATGCAAACTGGATTCCTATTTAAAAAAAAAAAAAACTACAGACATCTTCCCAAGACAGAAGACTGCTAAACCTGGAGATGTGACTGTCTCCAGCTCAAGGGGTGAGTGAGAAGTTGGGAGGGAGGGAGACTTTGGACCAAAGGACATGGCAGTCTGAAGTTCTCAGAGAAGCAAGACCCTGAATATGACATCACAAGGGGCCGGTTCACTTCTGCTTGCACATCTCCTTCCCAAAAATGAGTACAACCATGGAGATTCATGAGTGGCCAGCTCTAATATGCCAGTGTCTTCTCATATTGTCCCAAGCCTTTGCTTTGGTGGTTACTGTCCCCCGGGACTCCAGAACAAGCTCAGCTCTTCTACACAAACACTTTGAAGGCAGCACCCCTCAAACATACCGGCCATTGTCTTCTGCTGTTTGCAAGAACTGTCACATTTAATCCTAACAGCTCTTCAGAGGAGCAGATGGTGTTTCTATTTTAGAGAAGGGGAAATAGGCTCAGGAAGAATGTGTGCCTTGTTCAAGGTCACACTACATCTTAATGTATATTCTTGTCAATCCTGTCTTCTCTGGTCATATTCCACTGACCTTTCTCCTCTTCGAGCTCAAGGAAACCTCACCTCAATTCCTTTGGTTGCCAGATTTCCACTAACAGGCTAGGATGTGCGCTCCTGCCTCCTGGGAAGGGCAGAGGCTGACTGAGGAACCTCAGTGAATGAGGAGAGGGTGGGCCCGTAAAAGGCTCTCTTAGATGCCAGATGCTTGGTAAACTGAAGTGGGTGTGTGGCAGCTCATTTCAGGAAGGAGATGGGGGAGGGGTCTCTCCTGGCCTGGGAAGGGCAGGGATTTCCCAGGAAGAGGCCACTCTCTACCTGGGTACATGCCGAGACGGATACAGCAGAGAGCTAGTTCTGATAAGGCATTTGGAGAACACTTGGTGTAGCTACAAGATGCTTTGGTGGTACAAGTGGGTCCCAAAAAGGGGCTAAGGGCTTTCCCAGAACACCAGAGGGTGTGGTTAGAGGATTAAAGAGTCCAGGTCGCCTGAACACCAGAGGGTGTGGTTAAGGGCGTATGGAGTCCAGATCTCCCCAACACACACTTGTACCTGCCATCATGGAGGTAGGTGTCAGGGCTGTGCAATGGAAGAGGGCAATACTCTCCTAGAGCCTGAAGAGATGGGCCCTGTTTGAGCCCTCTGGAGCCAGGTATCACATTTAAGACACAGGAGGAGGGAACAGTGACTTACCTGTAGGGGTGTACTGTGAGTGCTGGATGGTTGTTGTATACCACCAGAGAGGGTGAAAATAACCCAAGGTCACACAGTAAATGCACAGTGAAGCAGAAACTTGTCGGCACGGTCTGGGTCTTCTCAGCCCCATGAGGGTCTCCTGGAAGAATGCAGTCCTTCCAGCCCAGACTGAGAACAGCAGGAAGGGGTACAAGCTTTAAGAAATCTGGACCATTCCTGTGCTACCTCCACCCCAACTTTTCCTACCTCCTGCCCTGAAGACATCCAAGACTGCAGATGAACCCAGAACTTCTAAAATTCCTTCAGAATGGGTCACCTCCATTTCCCACAGAGTGAGAGCCTGTGCTTTTCATCCTTCACTAAACCCTGCCTTTCCTATAAACCTAGCTCAGAGGCACAGAAAATGACCATGTGCAAAGCCACAGAGGAAGTCGTATCAAAATTCCAAAGACTCGCATAGACCAAGTTCTCTGACCACAAGGCAATGTAATGAGAGGTGAAAAGAAAAACACAAACCTTCCTAGGCTGAGAAACTAAAAACCCACTCCTAACTCACCCGAGAGTTCGAGAGAGGAAATTATAAGTGGCATTTGTAAAATATTAAGAGTGGAATGATAAGCACAAGCAGTCCCTAAGTCATTTCCTCTGTGAAGTCATCTCTGACCCCACACTGTTCCTCCAGACAACTTTCTACCCTCCCAGCTCTGTGTCCCGGGGGCTGATCTCTGGGCTGTGGCAACAGGTTCCCCTATCCTTGGCTTTTCTGGGACTCGGCTATGGGGAACTTGGCCAAAGATGAGAGGAAAACAGAGGGAAATGAGGGCTTATTTGGCCAGTAGATTTCCCTTGGTTGCTGTGAGCTGGGTACGGCCTCTATTTAGGCCACAGAGCTTCTCATAGCTTCCATTCCCACTGCACCTCAGCCTAGGGTTGCTGACGGCTGTCTGCGGTCCTTGCTACCTCATCGGGAATATAGTCTCTACATGGCTCCCCTAAAACTAACTACACCCATAGACAGCGCCACTATTAAACGCTCCTGAAAACACTCAGGGTGCTCTGTGTGTTTCCTGTGGATTCCCCCACTTTTGCCAGTGTTTGACCATCAATGCATTATGCTACCCCATGTCCACTTCTGACCCCGTTACCTGTGTATGTCATGTCCCAAGTGTTGGCCTATCAGCACCTGAGATCAGAGACTGATTCATCATCTGGATCTCAGTGTGCTGTCATGCTCAACAAAATGCACTGGTTGTTATATCAAATTACGAGGAGCAAATGTGAAACCCATAAATATGTGTTTATATGAAATTTGGGACAGATTAAGACTTGGGCACAAAGCAGTAGAGAATTTTATGCTGGAACAGAAATAAGCTCTTTGTCAAAAAATGGGTCCTCAGTTCTGACCAAAATTCTCAAGGATCTGTGTGTTGTCATGCAATTGAGAAAGCAGGCCCAGGCTCAGACCCAGGGAATCCCAATAAGGCATCTGTGCCATGGTATAAAACCACCTGTAGCTCTAGCAGGTCCCCTGTCATACCTGCTCACCGTTCACTTCCTCCATGGTGACTTCAGCAGCCCAGCTGCCTGCCTTGACCTTCTGTATTGTTTTTCATGCTGTGACTAAATGCTCAGGAAAAGTGTTTTGTATCAGCTCACTCTTTGGGAGTGCAGACCACCACGGTGGGGAAAGGTTGGCAGGAAGAGGCAGGAAGAGCATGAGACAGCTGGTCACACTCCCAGAGATGTGTCTCCTTGGCAGTTCTGAAGCCAGTGACGCTGACAATGAAGAGTAACCATAATGCCTAGTCTAGAAAGTCTTCAATCTCCTCACCCCGAACAGAGCCTGTAGTCTGGTTTCTGGGAGCAAGCCATGGTATGTGTTGAGCCCTGTTGTGGGATATCGGCCTGTTCTCAAGGGAGAAATCTAGGTAGAAGAGTAAGCAATGCAGATCAAATATGTAAAGGTTTGAAACCGGGTGGAAAGGGCTGTGGGAGGAGCCACTCTGCAGAACAGAGACAAAGGTTTGGAGATAGGAAATGGTGACTTTGGTTGGTGTGAGAATCTGCCCAGCCAGCCAAGGTCTCCAGCTGGTGTGGGGAAGGTGACGAATTCTTTGAACCTTCTTTGGTGGGAAGGAGGGTGGAGGGATCACTCCAGTGACCTAGTCCACGGCTCCCACTGCCTATTCATTCACTCATTCGTGTGTGTGTGTGTGTGTGTGTGTGTGTGTGTGTGTGTGTGTGTGTTTTGAGAGGGTCTCGCCAGGCAGCCCTGGCCAGCCTGCAGTTCCAGCCTGCAGTTCAGAGATCTGCCTGCCTCTGCCTCCCTCCATCACCTGCAGCCTCTAGTCGTGGATCTTTGAGTGCTGTGTGTGACAAGGGGTTGAAGCTCTACATAGGCTGCTAGGAACCCTATTGAGTTCAGAGACAAGTGAAGCACAGATGACAGTAGGAGGGCTAGGAAACCATTCAAACCACTGTCTTTTTCTTTCTGCTTCAGGAAGGAGCTGGGCTTGTTCCCATTCTACAGCCTAGGAATCTGAGGCTGCGTCCTTAAGGAAGATCCAGACGCCCCTTGGGGCCCGCTGCTCATCAAGTCCTTGGCCCTCGGGGAGGCTGCGAGCCCCATCGGACTTCCCATTTCCCGGAAAGGCTGGAGAAACGAGTGTGTGTCCTGGGACGGGGGAGTCCCTTTCCCCGCCCCTCCCCGCCCCGTGGCCACGGCGTGGCTGAGCCCGGGGCGGAGCTGGCGTCTCCTCGCGGACGGGCGGCGGGACGGCGGCCGCAGCCCGGGGCAGACAGGCGGACAGTCACGGAGCCCGGCCCGGCGGGATCACCCGCAGTAGGACGACCTAGCGCGCTGCGGTGCGGCGGCGCCGACTGAGACCGGAGCTGTCCACCTTGGCGGAGCGCGTGAGTGAGCGCCGCGTCTCCGCACCCCTCGCGGCCCAGTCTTGCTTCCACTTTCAGTTCTTCTTGGTCCTTGCCTGGCACCTTTTAAAAGCGGCCCCAGCCCGAAAGCAGGCTGGCCACAGTCCTCAGCCCCGGGTCCAAGGCTTAGCGCCCTAAGTCCGGGGTGGGGGTGGCGGTGGCAGTGGCTGGTGAGGGGGCGTGTCTTCAAGGGCGGAAACGTCAGGCTGGCTCCTCTGGGTCCTAGGACCTGTTTGGCCCTAACAGCTGAAGATAAAGGGATGTTTTTAGGGGCTGGAAGGAAGCTGGAGCGGGTCTGGCTGAACAAGTGCTGTGTCTTATGCTCCTACTTTTATATTAGATCTTGTGCTGCAGGGCATACCAGGCTAGATTCTGAGTTCAAACTGGGGCTGTTTCTGAGCCAGACCCAGGGAGGGGCAGGTGTGTCCCTGGCAGGAGGCTAAATATTAGAAACAGGCTGGGTCAATCAATCTGTGCTCTTCATCTGGGAAGATTAGTGAGCAAACCTCTGGGCACCCACCCAGTAATTAAAGTGGAGGGACCACGGGGAAAGGGGAACAGAAGCTGTGCGAGAAACAATCTCAGTGATGGCATGGGGAGAGAGCAGCAGTAACAGGCATAGGAGGGCACCTGCTCTTCCCTTACCTCCTTACTCAGCCTCCATGTTTACTCTTTCTAGAAAAAGTTCTGGGCCTTAAAGTTCTACAGCAAGAAGATGGGGCCTCTCTACTCCCTTCCTCTCCCCTTATCTACACTAGGCCAGTGACCAGACAGAGCAGGAAAAGGGTCCTTCGTACCTTGTCATAGGCTAAGTCCTTCTTTATCCCAATCCTCTACTTCTTACAATTTGCTATGCAAAGCCAGGCTCCTCAGATCCTCTCCCTGGACTTCACTTTCCCCGTCTGTTCATGTAGGTTGAGCCTCTTGATTTCTCAGAGCTATTTAACTTGAAGAATTGTGTTCCTCTATGTGTATGTGTGTCTGGTATTGTGGGCAAGTGCAAGCAGACATGCAGGTATGGAGGCCCAAAGTTGGCAACAGTTTCTAACTCTCTCCAATTCATTTACTGAGGCAAAGTCTATTTAAAAAATAATAATAATTACATTTACTTGTGTGTATACATATACACACACTCGTACCACAGTGTACATGTGGAAGTTAGAGACAGTTTGTGGGGGTTCTCTCCTTTTTCCATGTGGGTTCCGTGAAATCAAACTCCAGCAAGCAAGTTTTCCCACTGAGACATCTCACCAGCCCAAGGCAGGGTCTTTCTGAATCTGGGGCTTCCAGGGATCCCCTGCCTCTTCCTCCTAAGTATTAGGGTTACAAGAAGCCACCAGGCCTTGTCAGGTTTTTCACGGGTTATGGGGATCAAAACTGCTCCTCAAGCTTGCTGCAGTCTCTTTACCCAGCGAACCATCTCCCCAGCCAACTCTAAGACTCTTGAGTCTAAACTTTCCCTAAAACCAGGCCACCAGCATTATGCCAGTCCTGACTTAGTCTAGAGAGGGCTAGTGACAGAAATGGTCAAAAAGCAGTCAACCACACAAGGTTGAGATCTGGAGGAGGCTGATGAAGGAGGTAGCATTCGGCCTGATGGAATGTGAAATCCGGAATCAGCCAGCAAAAGACACAAGGGCAGGAGAGAAGGGGCATGCTCAGGGGTTAAGGAGAAGCCCAGGGTGACTGCTACTGGGGAGGTGGGGTGGAGAAGTTAGGGCGTGGAGTTGAAAGGCTGAGTGAGAGTCTGTAACAGTCAGTAATGGGGTGATCATATCAAGGTGGAGGTTCCTGAAACCGCACTGACTGCATGAGTGATTTTGGAAGCCCTGGCCCAGGTAGAAGCTACCTTCCAGTTGGAAGGTAGCAACTGGAGTGTACAGAGCTCTTCATTCAGGAAGTTTAGGCCCCGGCCTGGCATTTCTTTGGGAAGAAGCTGTGTGTGTGTGTGGGGGGGGGGGGGGTGTCAGAATAAATGAGAGAACCTTCCTTGTCTTCAAGCTTCTCTCAAGAGGTCAGGAACTCTCTCTGCCCTCCACACTGCTCTCATTTTTCCTGTTTGTTCCATTCTGCCTGCCTGCTGTGATGAGAAGGAATAACTGTCCAAACATTTCTGTAAGTTGGATTTGTGGCCAGAAGTAACATCAGTCTATGCTCCATGCCTTTGTTACACTAACCACCTTATTCCCACCCTCTCTTCCCCCATCCTGCCACAGCAGTTAGCAAAGATCTGAGAAAGGAACCTGCTTCAAAGTCAGGCCAGTCTGAGGTGAAGGATAAGCTTTGTCCGCCACTAACTTGAGCCTCATTCAGTGTGGAGCTAGGCTCAGAGCTCAGACTAACCAAGGTTGAGGAGGGGTTAGTCAGCATGGAGCCCAAGCTCAGTGCCCAAGCCTAGTGATTAGGGTCTGTCAGGGTCTGCACTCAGCTGTGGTTGTCCCAGTCTCAGCGATTGCCTGGATCTGCATTGGTGGGACCGATGAAATGCCTAAGATGCTCTGAAACCTGACTGCATCAGGGTCTTCAAGGATTTACATGGACTAAATCTGTGGTGATGTTAGCAAGGCAGTTTTGAAGCGGGTTTGGTCCCAGGACTTTGAGAGCTCTGATTGATGCCCCCTGGAGTCTGCTCTGAGTCTGGGATCCTTCCATTCTAAGAGGCAAAGCAGACATCCAAAAGGACCAGCAGGATGGGTCTGGCTGCTCTCCCTCCAACCCCCAGTGCCAAGTACATAGTAGGTGTGCTGGTAATCTATGGAGTGTCAGGTGCAAGGGGAAGGCCAGTGGCTTATTCAGGTTTGGGAAGGAGGTCGGCTTGGAGGAAAGGAGCCAGTTGTAGCATTCATCAGAGGAAGTAGCGCTCTTCGAGACCTGCCACCCGCCCCTTCCTGCAGCCTCTGCAGCCACACTTAAGGCCACCCAGCTGGCCGTGTGAGGGCCCTTTCCTCTTTCAGTGTAAAGAAAAAGGAAAGGACATTTTTGGTAGAAAAGTCCCTTTTGCTCCCTGGGAATCCCCGGTGGCCGGATGGTCTTCGGGATATCCCAGAGGAAATCAAAGCCCATGGCCCACCCCTTCAACCCCCTCCCACTCTCCACCCTGGTCCCCTCTAGCACAATGCAGCTAGGTTCTCTCACACTACACAGCTAGCCTATGGGGCTTCCAGAGAACACCTTATCTGAGTCCCCTGTTTCCTGGTTAGCCTGCAAAAGCCTCTTGTCACTTCTGTAATGGTCAACAGTTAAGTCCTGTAAGTACTTGTCTGGAGCCCAGGCTACACTGCAAGATTCAAAGAAAGCAGGGAGGGGGGCTGGAGAGATGGCTCAGTGGTTAAGAGCACTGACTGCTCTTCCAGAGTGACCTGGGTTCAATTCCCAGCACCCACATGGCAGCTCACAACTGTCTGAAGATCCAGATGCAGGGGATCTGACAGCTTCACACCAATGCACATAAAATAAAGTTAAATAAACCATAAAAATAAAAAAAAAAAAGAAAGCGGGGAGGAAGCTAAACAAAATGAAAGGCATGTGGGACTGCTGGAGGGTGGGGTGGGGGCTAAAGTACTCCCCGAAAGATTAGCCATTGCTAGGGCACGAGCGTTGGGAAGTCAAAGTTCATTTTCTAAGGCCCTGACCACCTACTTCTGCCCTTGTCCCTGGCAGGGCATCTCCAGGTCCCTGGGTCTGGACATCCAGCTCTACTAGGCCTGGCCATGGCATTGTGCCTGAAGCAGGTATTTGCCAAGGACAAGACTTTCCGGCCCCGGAAGCGCTTTGAGCCCGGCACACAACGCTTTGAGCTCTATAAGAAGGCACAAGCCTCACTCAAGTCTGGCCTGGACCTTCGCAGTGTGGTGAGGCTGCCACCTGGCGAAAGCATCGATGACTGGATCGCTGTGCACGTGGTGGACTTCTTCAACCGCATCAACCTCATCTATGGCACCATGGCTGAGCACTGCAGTGAGACCAGCTGCCCAGTCATGGCGGGCGGGCCTCGCTATGAGTACCGCTGGCAGGATGAGCGCCAGTACCGAAGGCCTGCCAAGCTCTCGGCGCCCCGTTATATGGCATTGCTCATGGACTGGATCGAAGGTCTCATCAATGATGAGGATGTCTTTCCGACACGTGTTGGTGAGCACTGTCAGGCTGGAGAGTTGGCCTAGCCAGGGAGGGTCGTTCCTCTATTATAGATCCCATATTGTAGAAAAGGAAGCCAGTTGAGGTAGGATCTTAGTTACAATCAAACATTTGCCAAGGACAACCTGACTCCAGTTTGGGGATCCTCATGTCCTCCTCATGGAGCCAGAACTCAACCCTCTTTGCCCAGCAGCACCTCTCAGAGATAAACCATACAGATCCTGCCCAGCCAGGAAAGGCCACGAGAACCATGGGAAAGGCAGTGTGTGCACAGACCCCACTAGGGACTCTCCCAACAAGACCACAAACGCTGCTTCTCCCCTTTCCAGACCAAGTAACACCCTGTCATGCTTGGGCTGATCTGGCTTCCAGCCTCCTGAGAGTCCCCTTTGAATTCTGGCCCCAGAAAGGGAAAGATTGGAAGCTGGATCAGCTCAAAAGGTACCTTTTCCTCAGTACTCCATAGTCAGGTCCAGGCCGTGGGGCCTTTCCTTACCTCAGATGGACCTGGGCTGGGAGGAGGGGAGGGAAAGGAGATGAATGATTCACCCTGGCCCAGGCTCCCCACCCAGGAGACACTGTGTTCATCACAGCAGCCTTGCCTGCAACCCAGGTCCCAGCACCCATCTGAGCTACGGGGATTCGAATGGGTGGGGCAGATGGTCAAGCCCAGAGGGAAAAACTCTGAATGCTGAGGAAAGCGGGGCACTGAGTCACAATTCAAGTCTGCGGCTCCTCCCCAGCTGCCGCCACCATTTCCCATACTACTGTGTACTACAGGACCCTTCCATTTTACACGGAAGCACACTGAACAGAAAAAGGACCAGAACTGGAGCCAGGTGTGGTGGGGCCCAGGTGCCATAGTCTAGAGGGGTGGGATAGGAGTTGCAGGGACGAGGCTGGACTCTCCAAGAAGCAGAGCACAAGCTCCGAGGAGCAGTGAGAAAGAAGTGGGTCTGCGGAGGTGAATGGACTAGGGCTCAGTCTGCTCCTGGCTTTTATTCTCCTCTAGCCTACATCCCTGGGCTGGTGAGCCCCCGGGTAAACTTTTAACTGGATAACTGGAAGATTTTGTCATAGCAGACTAGAGAGTGTAAGCCACCAGGATCCCTGTCCTGGATTGGGGTCTGTGCACACACTGCCTTTCCCATGGTTCTTGTGGTCTTTCCTGGCCGGGCAGGATCTGTATGGTTTATCTCTGAGAGGTACTGCTGGGCAAAGAGGGTTTGAATGCTGCCTGCAGTCTGTACTAGTGAATAATTACGTGTCCTCCGGCAAGTGGCCTCCCCTTCACACATCACCTGCATTTTATCATATCTAGAGTGACTATCAGACCCATCAGCACAATCGAAAGAGCAGAGGACAGAGGTGCAAAGGGCCCAGCTCAGGGCTGGACTCACAGAGGGAATTTCCTTTATGTTATTGGCTCTCTGAAGGAACGAGTGATATCGGAAGTAGTTCTTGAAGTATTAGCGTGGAGGGGAGGGTGTGAGCCAGCTGTGAGACTCGGAAGCAGAGGAACTGGGGTGTGGCTGGAGAGCAATCAGGGTTGGCACATTAAAGGCTTTCCTCCATGCCCTACCAGGATATTAAGACTTAACCCTGAAGGCCCGTGTTCTTAAAAACTGGCTCACAACCTCCACAGTGGACTGTCTAGGAGAGGGTGATGTGCATATCTCTGTGGGTGCACAGGTTTCTAGAGACAGGTTAGGCCATAATTTTCACTGTGGTCTGAGGCAGACTGGCCGGTGACAAGCTTGAAAAGCCCTGCTTCAGGCAGTGGGAAATGGGGACGGTGATCTGTGTTACAGCACAGGGACAGGAGGCACTTTTTGATCTGTGCTTCATTTAAAAAGGAAAGTTGGGGACTACTGGGGTTAGAGCTCAGTGATGTGAATGAATTCCTGAGTTCAATTCCAACAAAGAGGAAAAGTATAGGAGAAAACCAAGCCCTTGCTCTGCCTTCCTCTATGGGTCCTGCACTGAGGAGAGGTGAGGAGTGCCTGTGGGAAGGGATGGAGTTTGCCCTTAGGATTTTGACCCCCTCTTCCATCCCTCTCCACCCCCAGGAGTTCCCTTCCCCAAGAACTTCCAGCAGGTCTGCACCAAGATCCTGACCCGCCTCTTCCGAGTCTTTGTCCACGTCTACATCCACCACTTCGACAGCATCCTCAGCATGGGGGCAGAGGCACATGTCAACACCTGCTATAAGCACTTTTACTACTTCATCCAGGAGTTCAGCCTGGTGGACCAGAGGGAGCTAGAGCCACTGGTAAGGCCAAGTCTCCCTGACCCTTCACTGCCAAGGCTCGTCCTGAAAGTTCAGTTCCAAAGGATTTGTATGAAACTTCCATATCCGGGTAGATAAGTGAGGGAGACAACTCATTTACCACTGGATTCAGTTCGCTCATAGAGAAGTCTTGGAGGTGTCAATTTACAAACCCAGATCTGCTGCCATGGTTTGCAGCTATAGTGGGGGAAGAATGAGGCCCCCCAAACCCCATGATTTGGCAAGGAGTTGCCCAGCAGGCTGAGCTCAGACTAACCCTTCTTTACTTTGTGTCTCTACAGAGGGAGATGACAGAACGGATCTGCCACTGAGTCCAGATCTAGATGTTGTTGCCTATCAACTGGACCGTCGGACACAGTGTAGCTGGGAGAGGGGACCCTTAGCCTGTCGGTAGAGCAATCTGAAGGCCTGTAGGACCCCTCTACATACCCAACACCTCTGGACTTCTCAGAAGTCCGCCTGGAGAAGGGAGGGCTTCAAAGTGGGCAACTGAAGCAAAGGAGTTTAGCCCCTCACATTCAGTCCAAGAGTAGGGTAGGCTTCCAGGTTCCTGCTCTGATATTTCACCCTTTCACCCTACCATGGTGGGTCCCAAATCTATTTGGGGAATATGGATGTGGCTGAACTGGTGGCAAGAAAATTGTGAGAGTGAGTGCCTGTATCTGAGCAAGCGGGTAGGTGTGTGTGCGCGCGAGGGGTGGGGGTTTGATTGTGGGATTTGTCTGAGAGATTCAGGTCCTTTCTGGCACATAGTAGGCCCTCATGTTGGATGGGTGGGTGGGTGGGTGGATTGATGGATGGATGGATGGATGGATGGATGGGTGGATGGATGGGTGGATGGATGGATGGATGGATGGGTGGATGGATGGGTGGATGGATGGATGGATGGGTTGATGGATGGGTGGACAGACAGACAGGATGATCTAAGTCCGTGACCCTTTTAGGAGTAATGACAGCTTTGTTCCCCAGCTCAACTCTGACCATATGTACAAGTGTACAGAATGTGCATGTAGTTGGAGTGATACCTCTGGATCTTCTAGAACACCGTTTTCTATCTACATGAGTCCCATGCAGTTGAATGGAGGCTAGAAAGTTCAGCTTTGCCCTGAATTCCTTAAACCCCTGACCTACCACCATGTGGGCTGATTTGCTCAGCCAAGGATGTCCACAAATTGTTATGTCACTCATCTTTCTGCTTCCAGGAGGGTCTGATAACAATAAGCCTCTAAGCTACTGTGGTGGCACATACCTTTAATTCCAGCATTCATGAGGCAGAGGCACGAGGATCTCTAAGTTCTAGGCCAGTCTGGTCTACATAGTGAGTTACAGGACAACTAGGGCTACACAGAAAAACCCTGTCTCAAAAGACAAAACACAAAACAGCAAAGCAAAACAGTAAGCCTCTTGAGGATTGAGATTGATCCCTCATGTCCACAAAGGTCCCTGGATCTTCAATTGAGACTTGAGATACTTCAGGCTCACACCCAGAACCTACTGACCTGACTGAAGAACAGCACAACATAGCCCTCTAAAACAGAGCTACTGGAACCTGAATTGGGACATCTGGAGTCTTTTCTACTGTCTCAGGACACGGAGGATCATGTAGCTGGTGGAGACCTTCTCATCCTGAAAACACCTGCCTCCACCCAACCATCCCAAGACATACCAGCTACTTGGATCTCCAAGCACGGCTATCCAGAGAGGCGGGGATGCTCTTTCAATAGCCATTACTTAGTACCTCCATGCTGAGCCCTGTGCACAGGTAGGGAAACCATGATCCTTCCAGAGCCTTAATCCTGAGAGGCCAGGATGGAGAACAAGAAGTAACACAAGAATCCTGTCTGTCTCTCAGTGTACAAAGGAGGAAACTGAAACCCGGAAGCTTTTTTAAAGCTGGTATAAAAGCCAAGGCTCTTGACTTCTACTCTAGGGTCTGCTGATGTGACACCGAGATGCTTGTGGAAATAGGGTTTGTCAAATACTCTCTAGGACACAACTGTTCCTGTTTTGAACAAGGATTTCTAGCCTGATGCCAGAGAGCCCCACCACCCCTGGGTTGGCTCAAGTTGGTTACTGAGACAAACCTCCAAAACTAGGCCTATCGTTATGGTCTAGGAACTGCCTGCCCTCTGAAGAAACAGCAGGGCTCTCCAGATCAGCAGGACCTGGAACTTTCTCTGCCAGCTCTAGAAAAGTCCCAAAGAAAGCATGCTGTCCTACAGCTTTGGCAGTGGTTCGGAAGTAAGGAAAGTGGGTAATTCCCCATAGTGGGCTACAGGACATATTCTGAAATCTCGGCTGTGAACAGGGATGATGGGGGTGGGGAGGGAAATATATTTTTGTGAAAAAGGGAAGATTTTGCTATTTTTGGTAAAAATAAAAGACAAACTAAATCAACCACTGATGAGAAGCTGTGGTCTGGGTACCATCTGGGTCTTGGCGGATTGTTGGAAAGACCTCCAGAATGGGATTAAAGGCGTTCTATGCTCAGCTCCTGACCATATGGGCATAGTCATGACTTACCCAGTCTCCAATGTGAGGACACCCAGGTTCTCTCGGGGCTCTACATTCTAGACAAGCTAACTTGGGAGCCTTGAGGAGGGTAAGAGAGGAACTTAAGGAACTCTGACGGGGAGATTTTGTTTAGGCACTTGGCACTAGCTATCCCCATTCATATCTGGGAGGTGTGGAGGAACCAATGGCTAAAAGTGCAGTGGGAAATTCAGCCACAACCCCATTCACAAGAGAGGAAGCCTCTCTCAGGACTCAAGATAGGAGAGGTACGGCAGGTTTCACTCCAGATCTTATTCCCCAGAAGACAGCATTCCCTGCCTCTACACCACAAGGCACTCAGACAGGAGTTAAAGCAGTTTGGTTGTAAACAATCAACAAAGGCCAACCTAGAGCTCCTTCTACACCTGCAAAGGAGCCAGTAGGAACCTGGGAGGTGGATGCCTGTGCTCTAGCCCCAGCCAGCCCCGAAGGTCTCATGGCAAGTACCTTCCCTCTCTAAACCACTTCTTATCTACTTTATGGTCAGAAGTGGTGAGCTAGCAAGATGGCTCAGTGGATGAAGGCATCTCCTGCCCAATAATGCAAGCTTCATGGCCTGAGTTCAGTTCTCAGGACCCACGTAAAGGTGAAAGGAGAGACACCACTCTGGCATGCATAGCCACACACATGCATCACATACACAGTAGTAACTTGATTTTTATTGTTTTGAGACAGGTCTCATCATGTAGTGCTGGTTAGCCTGGAACTCACTCTGTAGACTAGGCTGGCCTTAAACTCCTAGGGATCCACCTTTCTCTGTCTCCTGGGTATTGTGATTAAGGTGTGCACCACCACACCTGGTATAAATGAACTTTTAAAAAAAGTGGGAGTGAAAGTGAGTGATCCCTAAGCTCCCTCATTCTCAGACCGTGGACACAGATGATAGTGACTTAGCTAATACTGGCTATGTCTGGTACAGCCTCAGGTGCTTGACACATAATCAAGGCTCTCTTTAACCAGCTGTCTGATCTTCCTCCCAGCCCCCAGTATCTCTCCCCTCTTTTTACTACTGTAGAATCTAGAAAGTTCTCCATTTTGATGCTCCTTCTAGTGCCCAAAGCCCAGCTTTCTAAAAAAGTGGTGTTTTCAAACCTATTGGGCAGTCCAACTGTTAGCAAGTTCATGTACATTATGGAAGTAAGATTTATCTCAAAATCAAGATGCCTGGAAATATATTAGGATATATTGTGGCAGGGAGCAGGGAAGAAGCTTCTCTCTCCACCCTGCGGCAGAGCATCCCCCACTGAGTAAACACTACTGCATAACCTGGGCTTTCATGAACACTGCTTCTATGTTCCCTGCTGCCCCTGTGGAGCTGTGGAATGGAGTAGCATGGGCCCAAAGAAGGTCTGGGTTCTGCATTGTTTGCCCTCCTTCCGGGCAGCCCCTCAGAGCTTATTTTTTCTTTTCTTTTTTTATTTATTTATTTTGTATACAACTTTCTGCCTCCATGTATGCCCGCACGCCAGAGGAGGGCGCCAGATCTCAGTACAGATGGTTGTGAGCCACCATGTGGTTGCTGGGAATTGAACTCAGGACCTCTGGAAGAGCAGCCAGTGCTCTTAACCTCTGAGCCATCTCTCCAGCCTTTTATCCAATGTAAATTAACCATGGTTGTCATGTATGTGGGAGAGTAGTGACTTTGAGAATCTGGATCACAATCTATGCTTGAGCAACTCAGGACTAGTTGGCTATTGAGAATTGGGGAATAGGCTAGAAAGGCCTGTGAAGACATGAAGCTTGGCGGGCCTGGAAGGTTGGAAGAGGTTGGGATATACAGCCTTTGGGTAGGACTCAAATTCTGGGAGGGACAAAATTCAAAAGCTTGGGGGAAAGACTCTCCTTCCCAATCTTCATCTAGATTGGAAATCTAGCAAAGTCTTGAAAACTCCCACTTCCTTCCATCAGAGAGGAACACAGAAGGGAGCCCATGTTTTCAAGGTCACTGATGGGAAAGCCGAGAAGCTCTTTAAGCGCCTTGCTCACCAGACGCTCACAACAATACTGAATGGGATAGGGATGTTTATTTCCGCCACACAAAGACTGCTTTAGATCCTGAACTGAAGCCAAACAGCGCTCTTCCTCTCAGGCACCTGCAGCCTGTGGAAGTGAGACAGGGAGGCTGGCTGAGGGATTAATCTAGTGTACACACACACACACACACACACACACACACGCACGCCCGCACAGCTGGTTGAGGTATTAATCTAATTAGTGTATGCACACATACACACAGCTGGTTGAGGTATTAATCTAATTAGTGTATGCGCACATACACACAGCTGGTTGAGGTATTAATCTAATTAGTGTATGCACACACACACACAGCTGGTCGAGGTATTAATCTAATTTTAGCACACACACAGTAAAATAAGAGTTTGTTTTAGCTGGTGTAGTTGTGCACGCCTTCAATCTCAGCACTCCGAGAGGCAGAGGCAGAAGCAAGTGGATGTCTGAGTTCGAGGCCAGCGAGGTCTAGGACAGCCAGGGCTACATAGTGAAACCGTCTCGAAAACAAACGTTTTTAATTATTGGAAGTAATGTTTTGGTCATACTCTCATGAAATTCTGTATACACAGACCTTTACAGAAACTTTATAGTCGTGCCTGGTGGTGTGCGAGTCTGTAATCACACAACTCTGGAGACTGAGTCAAGAGAAAAAACGAGTTTGAAGCCAGCCTGGGGTATACAGCCTTGGCTTTGTCTCAAAATGAAACTTTAAAACCAAGAAATTTTAACAGAGCTGCCCTCAGGTTAAGAAACGCTTTCGTCCTGGCTCGCAGAAATAACTATTTGCACCTGCGGGATCCTCCTCTCTGAAAAAGAGTAACGCACATCAACAACCCGCCACCGCTCGGATTCGCCGCGCCTGCGCGGTGTAATCGACTCGCCTCTGTGACCCTCGGGCGCATGCGTGACTCCGCCCCTCCCGCCCCTTTCTGCCTGGGCCCTCCCCCCCCCCCCCCCGAGTCTAACTCCGCCTCTTCCGCGTTCCCGACAGAGACCTGCAGGAGGGGGTGCGCGCGGCCGCTCCCGTGGTGGTCAGCTAAGGTAAAAGCGAGACAGCCAAGAGTCCCTCCGGGCGGGTCGGGGCCGGGGTCTGGAGTGCGGCGGTGCGCCCGGAGCGGCAGTCAGGGCCTTCTGAGCAGTTCGAGGTCACGACCCGATTCCTCTGCGGAGGGACAGCCGAAGGGGACACC